AACATGTCTAAGCACTTTTTATGCAGTAAAATGTAGCCCAAAGTAATTGAAAGTTAAGAAATATTTCCTACAAAAACAAATAAAAGTAATCATCATAAGATAGATTATTACAGTATATTAGTATGTTTAAATAATAATACAATTTCATTTAATATAGCACATTTCAAGATAAATATCATAGAGTCAAGTCAACTTTATTTGTATAGCACATTTGAAAGATATCAAGTGTCAGCCAAAGTGCTGAAAAGAAGAACAAAGTAGTTAAAAGAAAATAAAAGATTAAAATGAATTATCTCAAAAGATTACCAAAAGTCCATATACACGCACACCTACCTATATACAAAAGCCTATAGTAACATATATAGCATATACATGTGCAGTATCTCAGCGGTCCTGGGCAGAGATCTTGGATGTTGTTCCTGGGATCTCCTGGAGCCACTCGCCCAGCTTGAGGGTCACTGTACCGAGTGCTGCGATTACCACTGGGACTACTTTTGCCTTCACCCTCCACATTTTCTCTAGCACTTTTTTTTAGCCCTTTGTACTTCTCAAGCTCATGTTCCTTCTTCCTCTGTTTCTCTGAATCACTACATCTATTACTATAGCCGACTTCCTCTGCTTGTCCACTTCTACTATCTTTGGTTGGTTAGCCATCACCAGTTTTTTTGTCTGTATCTGGAAGTCCCACAGGATCATAGCTCGGTCTATCTCGACCCTGTGGGATTTGTCCTATTTTGACCTCGTCTTTACGCAGCCTGCATCTTGGGTCTTGCCTGGTGTGGTAGACCCCAGCCTCTATGGATCTTGTATTTAGAGCTTGTTACTGTGCCGCCATGGTCAGTTCCTCTGTGCTATCTTTCAGTCCAGCTTTGTCCAGCCACTGGTAGGATTTATTGATGTCAGCCACTTCTATCTGCCGGTGGTACATACTGTGCAGGGGCCTTTCATTCCATGATGGTTCCTCCTCTTGGTCCTTTTCTTACTCTGCTTGCTGCTGCCTGAGGTATTCACTAAGCACGCAGTCGGTTGGGGCCATCTTCCTGATGCACTCATGGATGTTTCTGGACAGGGGTTCTGACACTCACCAGTCCTTTAACGCCTGACACAAGCTTCAGTGTGGTACTGAGAGAGGTTACTGGCCGGTAGTTGGATGAGACCGGTCCTTTCTGGGGATACATGGGGATCTGGTAGTTGGTTCATTTGTGCTGCCAGACGCTCATGGAGTGCAGTCAGCTTCTTCAGCCAGTAGGCATAAATCATGCTCAATTCTTTATACTGGAGAACCTTTCTTGGATGTCTTGGATGTCTGGATTCTGTTCAGGCAGGTTCTCCCATGTTATTCCAGTATTGCTCTGTCTCCAGTCTTGGTGCAGCTGCTGTTCTCATATTGTACCCCTGCCACCCTGAATATACCCTGGATGGTACACGACTGCCTTATTGGTCTTGATTTCAGCTTCTACTCTCCTTCTCCATGAAGGGTACTGCTCCTTGTGACTGTTTATCTTATATCATCTCCAAGATCACTCCTACCTTGTTGCAGATCAGTCATGGCCGCAGTAGGGATGGTGGGGGTGATTATATCTCGATGTAGTGGCATGTAGTGTTACCAATACACTATTCAACTGCTATACACACACACACACACACACACACACACACCTAGCATAAGTAACCGAGATAAACTAAGCCAGAACAAACCCGCTGCCGGTTTCAAAGTGACCTGAAAGTCTGTGAAATAGGTAGGTCTTCAAAAAATTAATTTTTTTGTGCCTCACAACAAAAGGCAGCCCTTGCATGTTTCACTGAACTGTTGAAAATAAAATAAAAGATCCTTTAAATGAAGGTGATGAGTGTGTAAAAGAGTTGATTTCTGCAAGCACTCAACTTTTCAGCAAGAATACATTAAACAGCAAGTACTGGCAATTATCCAGGGAGAAGAGTTCAAAACAGTAGCTAACCTGGCTATAACAAGACACACTTTTTGTTTAAAAAAAAAACCAAAATTGTAAAACAAAAAAAACATTTTGTTGAGACATCAACATTATCTTGAGGGAATAAAAATGCATTAAAAGTGTCAGAATATTTAACAGTAGTAGAAGAAGAGCGAACCATGTAGCAAACAGGAGACAGAGACACAACAAAGGACAAGTGAAAAAGAAAACTGATGATCAGAAATAAAAATGTCCTCAGAACAAATACAGTCAACAACATTTTTTTGTTATTGTAGTTCACATTTTAGGATGAATGAAAGAAATCCAGTCAATTTGTTGCCTTCTAGTGTTTATGGACTAATGAGAAACAAAGAAAAATATGACCTGCGAACAGTAAATAAAGCATGACACTGACAGGGTTTTTTATGTATTCATTCTTTCTGACTTGCCAGATTGTCAGGTACTAAATCAGTATCTTTGTGTTACAGGGTGGAAGTAGTTTTCATGTTTTTATACTGTGTGCTTTGTTGGTTTGGTTTTATAGTATAGTTTTATGCATGTTTGTATATTTTTTGCATTTATTTTAAGGTTGTTACATGTACCTACCAGTGACTATTCAAATAAATTATCCACACCTGCTCACTCTGCATAAGGATAAGAGGTGAGGACAGTCAAGGAGCATGTACAGAAGGAGTGCAAGCCACAGCAGAGCATCAGCAGCAACAGGTTGGATAGGTCAGAGGGATACTAAGAAGATGGGACTGGAATTGTCTGTGGAACCAGTGTTAGAACCCTGTAGAAGGCCTTTCCCAGTGAGACAGAACCAGTGAAAAGTGTGATTTCTGTGATGGTTGCTAGAGCCTCTGTTTCAAGACTGTTACACCTGTGCATATAGTATATAAGTGGGGCTTCTTGTTTGTCTTTTATTGCTTTTTAAATTCCCTGGGCCTGTTTTATTGTAAATAAATTATTGCTGCTCATGTTTTTTGTACTCCTTGGGTACTTTTTATTTTAGCTCTTCTCCAGCAGATGGAAAATGACCTTTCTTCTCCTTTTCCCTCTTCATTACATTTAGTTCATATCAGCATAGGTGAGCGCGAACAAGAAGAGTAGAGATTGTATTATATGTACGGCTTGGTAAAATAGTCTGAATATTGCCCATTTAATTTTCCCCAAAGGGCCACATGAGAAACTCAGACTGTTTTGGAGAACTGCACCAAATGTTTTTCGTTTTTGTTTTTTTTCTGATGAACAATGTTTTGGTGTATAGTCTGAATAACACATCTGCCTGTCTGACAGCCAACCATGAGCACACATTTCTGTATTGGAAGGCCATTCTGGAAAATAAATAAATAAATAAAATGAAGGGGTTGTCTTATATAGTTTAATTTCATCAAAAATATATGTCTCATGTAGCTTTTGCATGTACAGTGTGGCTCACACACAACCTTCAGCCAAACAGCCATCAAAAGAACTTCTTAGGCTTTATACCATTTAGTCAAGCAAAATTAGCACATCATATATTCAGCAAGAAGGCTATCATACAGCCACCTCACAGCAACCTGTTTTAACAAGCTTGATTTGGGAGCCACTGGTAGAATGAGATATTAAATATAACAAAACACATCCTGATCTAAAGGTAAAGTAATAAATCTTTTTTTTTCTTCCTTGCATGACATATATTGACCTGCAAATGAATACACAGACCTTTCTTTACAGTCTTTAAAGTTGCATGATAACCAGTCTCCCACTTCAGCTGAACTTGTCTGCGTTTAACTTGAGCTTTCATTTTTGTAGCCTTCTGTCAGTTATGCTTGTTAGCTTAAAGGTGCTGTGAAGGTGAGCTTTGGGGTGCACATCACTGTGCATGCCACATTTTGACAGGCCAAAATTGATCAAGAACCTGTAATGATATGTGGGCTGGATTGAAATTGTGCAAATGGCTGGATTTGGACACAGCTGCACGGGGTTCATGCAGCTGCTTCTTTTCACCAGCAGGTGGAGAACATGTTTCAATGTTCCTATTTGACATGTTTCTTAGTTCTTTTGGATGA